ACCGCAGTGGGGCCAGCCGAGGGAGGGAGGCCAGCTTCCCCTTCCCTGGGGCTGGCAAGGCTGAGGCTGTGCAGAGCCAAGCCCAGGGGAGAGTGGGGAGATCAGCGAGGTCCCCCTCGGGGCTGCTGCTTGGCAGATGCCCCTGTCACAGCGGCGAGGCGTGCGGCCGGGCTGCCCGCAGCGCCGGGGTGGGGACACACACGTAGCAGGGGAAGGGGCTAGGGGAAGCGACTGAGGGGGGAACGCCTCTGGGGGCGGCCGCTTGGCCCCTCCGCGCTGCCGTACAAACTCAGCCTCGCCTCCAACATGGCCGCCCAGGCCCCAGCCTCTGGGGCCCAGCAAGGCCGCCGCTGCTTCCTGCTGCTGGAGGCAGGGAGCTGCTAGGGCAGGGAGGCTCCCCTCACACGTCCCCGCCCCCACGCCGGCCCGCAGGGGAGGGAGCAGCGGAGCTGACGGGGGCTCCATGAGGGACCGGGGCAGCCCCAGGCCGGACCTGCCCAGCCGGCTGACTCCTCCCTTGGGAACGGGGGGGCAGTGGTGCCGCCTTCCCTCGCCTCATAACTCCAGAGCGCCGGGAGCCTGCAGCCCTGGGCCGGGGGGCTCGAGGGCTCGGACCCCGCCTGGCTCGGGCAGGACTGGGGGGCTCACCCCGCTGTTTGCCTCACCCGGGGAGCAGCCTCCTGCGAGGACTGCCGGGGGGCAGCCGCAATGTTTTCGCTCAAGCCAGCGAGACCCACCTTCAAGTCCTACCTTCTGCCGCAGGTAACAGCCCTTTCTGTCTATTCCCCCCGGCGTAGCGCGCTAGAGCTGCGGGCAGGGCTGGGAACAGGGGATGGGTCTCCTTGGGGTGGCTTCCCCTCAGCAACACTTATCAGCCCGGGAATGGCTCTCGGCGGTGTTTAAATAGCACCTGCGCGTGAGCGAGACCCCCTCGTCGGCTGTGCTAAGAAAACTTTCCTTGGGTTAGGGTAGTGTCCCCCGAGCGATGCAGCAGCATTCCTGGAATTGGCCGGTGACTGGATACTGGTGCCCCCTTTTTTCTAGGTTTGTCTTCCCAATCAGGCACAAACTCTATGTAGATGATTTATATTGCAATTACAGGGAAGCAACAACTTTTTAACCAAAACACAATCATAAACTAATTAAAGTTTGTCAACCTAAGAAAAGTTCGGATGGTTTGTACTAACTTTAGTTATATGTGAATGACTTTCCTTTCCTTTTTACAGTGATTAAGTGCTAGAACCTTGTTTTAGCACTAGTCAAATATTATGTTTTCTCTTTAAAGTAACCCAAGTGCTTGTTCCTTATATGCAAATATTTAAGCTGCTGCAGTACTCATTAAACTTATTATCACTAACTAGAAATCAAAAGCTGATAATAAAACGGTATGTTTTAGTAAAACTATTATGAAAAGGTTCTAAACTTCAGTGTGTTTCTGCCATGCCCTAAAAAAGGAGTGATTTTTTTATATCTAGATTTATGGGGTGTGACTTACTAGCTGAAAAGTTGGATGCTGTGTCGTACTAATATGTATGACCAAAAATAAAAACCTGTATATTTTTTTCACATTTTTTCAGTGAAGTAGAAATGACAATGAAAAAAAAATTTTTTTTTTTCTGGGAAGGGCATCCTTGTCTCTATGGAAAAGGTAACTAGTTACATTGTGTCAACTGAGGTTTTCTGTATCTGTTTAAACTAATGATTTTTTTTTTAAGGTCTAGAATTTAAACATAAAATGGTTTATAAGATGCCTTTAAAAAAAAAATCAAATTTAGGCCTTGATCTTGTACGTTTCTTCATGCAGATAGATGCTTACACTTGTGTAGAACCTTGTTTAAATCACTGGGGGTCTGTGCAGGCACATGCATAGGTCTTATTGCAGGACCAGCAATTTAGGGCCTGTCTAGACAGGCCCTTACTGGGGCCCCAAAGACTAGACTTAGTCATGTGCTTAAATTTACACACTATGGGCTTGTCTACATTACCCGCTGGATTGATGGGCAGTGATCGATCCAGCGGGGTTTGATTTATCGCATCTAGTCTAGACATGATAAATTGACTGCCGAGCGCTCTCCCGTCGACTCTGGTACTCCACTGGAGCGAGAGGCGGAGTCAACGGGGGAGCATCAGCAGGTGAGTAGATCTAAGTACGTCGACATAGCTGAATTTGTGTAACTTAGATTGAGTCCCTTCTCTTCCCCCCTCCTCCCCAGTATAGACCAGACCTATTAGTAGTTCCATTAAAGTCTATGGAGTGTGTAGCATTAAACATGTATAAATCTCTGCAGAATTGGGACCTGAAACTTAGGACTCAAAATCTTTTAAACTAAAAAGTGGCCCCAAGAAGATCTGTGTATATCTTTAATTTTATAAGTATTTTAACTTTTTTGTGGTGTTGCTATTGTGTTTCAGGTTGAAGACAAAATAACCCCAGAGCCCAAGATTAAAAAGCTGGAACCAGTACTTTTGCCAGGTAAATATTAATCAAGGATTTGACAGAGGTCTACATAGGGTTATTTTTTTTAGTGCCTTCTATTCACTCTGGTAGTATTTGTAGGATTAATAGCGTGCACGTAATGCTATTTTTTTCTACTGTTTGACCAATAATTAATAACTTTTATTCTAACCTTAATGTAGTAATTAAGGGAATGCAGCTTGTAATTCAGTAAGAAAATCTACAGACTCTTCTCTGAGAGATTTTCTAATTTTGTTTAATTAACTCTTGAAACTAAACATAGGTGGGTATTTGTTTTGTTACAGTTTTGTAAAATTTCATACCTTGATATTTACTGCTTTTTTGAAACAGAAAAGCACTGTAATTTGATAGCCTTTGTGACACAGCGTTTAGGGGGTTCTCTCTTTGGATCACCAGATTTAGGCTCCGATTTTGCAGTCGGATCCACGTGGGCAGACCTTTGCGCCTCTGATTAGCTCTGCCTATGTGACCTGAGTGGCAGCTCTGTTAAAGCCTTCATTCCTTTTCTCTTACTGAATATCCAGTATCTGATTCTAAGCTTTTTGAACCTGTGAAATAGTTTGAAATACTAATGCATAATACTATTTCAAGAGAGTGTGATGGAAGGAAGGAGTAGCTTTTTATCATTCTTTATAATCAGTAGTTTATATCAGAATCCAAGATGTCTGGCTGCTTGTACCACCTCTTTATTAAGAAAATAAAACTTTTGATTTAGCTATATTATCTCAGAGAAACATGGAATTATAAAATCTTGTTCTGACATTAAAAATTCCATCAGCCTACTATACTATAGCTATTACTTGAATCACAAACTATTCCTTACTAATTAGAGCAATAAATATAGTGGTTGATTGCAAACATTGCTTGGATTTTGTGGGAGTATTTTTGTTAGAACAGATCTAAGCATATATATTTAAATACATCTAAGAAAAATAGATGACCTAAAGTATCACTTACTTTAGTGGGACATTGTTATCATGGCTAAAGAATAATTAGATAAATTAGATGTATTCAAGTCAGCAGGAGGCCTGATGAAATTCATACTAGAGTACTTAAGGAACTAGCTGAAGCAGTCTTGGAGCCATTAGTAATTATCTTTGAACTCCTGGAAGACAGTAGAGGTCCCTGAAGATGGCAGAAGGGCAAACATAGTACCTATCTTTAAAAAGGGGTGGGAGAAGGACCCAGAGAATCATAGACCAATCAGCTGGACTTCAGTACCTGAAAGATACTGGAGCAAATTATTAAACAGTCAATTTGTAAGGACCTGGAGGATAATGGGATTATAAGGAATTTTGTAAAGAAAAAATCATGCCACACCAACTTAATTTCTTTCTTTGATAGGGTTACCACCTACTGGATAGTGCAGAAGCAGTAGTCATGATATATCTTGATTTTAGTAAGGCTTTTGACACATTTCTGCATGACATTCTCATAAGCAAACTAGGGAAATGTGGTCTAGATGAAATTATTATAAGGTGGGTGCACAACTGGTTGAAAGACCATGCTCAGAGTAGTTAGGCATGTTTTGCTGTCAAATTGGGGGGGCATATCTAGTGGGGTCCCACAGGGGTCAGTCCTGTGTTCAGTATTAGTCAATATTTCCATTAGTGACTTGGATAATGGAGTAGATGGTATTCTTATAAAATCTTCAGATGATACCAGACTGGGAGGGGATGCAAGCATTTTCTCAGCCAGGTTTAAAATTCAAAATAACCTTGACGAATTGGTCTGAATTCAACAAGATGAAATTCAATACAGAGAAGTGCAAAGTACTTCACTTAAGAAGGAAAAATCAAATGCACAACCACAAAATGAGGAATAATTGTCTAGGTGATAGTACTTCTGAAAAGAATGACTGAATATGATGCAGCTGCAAAGACAGCTGGGGTGTATTAGCAGGAGTGTTGTATGTAAGACACAGGCGGTAGTTGTCTCACCCTATTTGGGACTGGTCAGGCCTCAGCTGAACGGTGTCCAATTCTGGGCACCACAATTTAGGAAAGATGTGGACAAATTGGAAGGAATACAGAAGAGAGCAACAAAAATAATAAAAGGTTTAGAATAACCTTTCCTCATAGGTCAGGTTACAAAAACTTCCCACATTTAGTCTTGAGAAAAGAAGATTGAGGGGCGACCTGATAAGTCTTCCAATATGTTAAGGGCTGTTATAAAGAGGACGGTGATCAGTTGTTCTCCATGTCCAAGGAAGGTAGGACAAGAAATGATTGGTTTAAGCTGAGTGAGGGAGATTTAGGTTAGATTATTAAGAAAAACTTTCTAACTATAAGGTTAGTTAAGATCTGGAATAGGCTTCCAAGGGAGGTCATGGAGTCTTCATCATTGGAAGCTTTTAAAAACATTTGGAGAAACACTTGTCAGGGATGGTCTAGATTTACTTAGTCTTGCCATAGCACTGGGGGTTGGATTAGATGACTTTTCAAGGTCTCTTTCAACCCTTCATTTCTGTGGTTCTATGTAGTCAGCTGTTTTAAATTGACTTAGACATTTCAACCCTCAAAGTGAACAAGAGGAGTAATAAGTAACTGTTCCAAGTGTGTACGTTAATTATTTCACCTACTTACTACCTGGTATTTGACTATTGTTAATCATCAAGCAGTACTAACTACTGCAATGCTTTTGTGTATTGAGATAAAGTTTAGTGTACTGAATTTGTGAGGGAGGTGGAGGGGAAGGAATCTTTTTGGCTAGAGTTCAGTATTTTATTTTTACCTGAATGAGTAATTGATTGACTGCATCTTCTTATGAAAGAAAGTATGGTATCTTGTTCTGGGGCTTATAAAACGTAGGTACTTTGCAAACAGCAAAGATTGTTGTTTATCTGTAGGAAACAGTTAAACAGACTTTATGCTGTTCAACATCTTACATGCTACATTACAGTAGCAAACAACCAAAGTGTAGGGTTGGTTTGTTTTTTAAGGACAAATTAAGTTTGGGTTTTTTTCCCAAGAGGGAATAAGCCTTTGTGTACTCTGAATTGTTGAGTAATTTGCCCGCTTATTCCCATTACCGCCATTCTTTCCTGAGGTCACCATCCTTCTGCATTAGGAGCATTTGTTCAGGAAATCACTTATACCAGTTAGAGCTTTTCTGTAAATGGTCTGAAAGGTGAGTTAATTTCAAATTAGTGCCCCAGCATGGTGAGAGCAGAAGTGTAGTGTTGTGGTTAAGATCTTGGGAGATCTGAGCCCAAGATTTTCCTGTGTAATCTTGGGCAAACTGCTTCGTTTTGTGTGCCAATCTATAAAGTGGGGTGGATAGTAATTCAGAATTTCACAGGATAAATTAAATGACTTCTATGAGACTACCTCTGCTTAAAGCTAAGCATGTGCTTAAGTGCATGTCTGAATATAGTTAGTGCCATAGAAAAGTCTACAAACACACACACCGTGTGTGGTGCTATAGGTGTTGACTTCTCGATGAGACATAAAGCAAGTTTCTGTCCAAATTCCAATTTATTTAATTACCTTCTGCTTTACTTGCCTTCCCTTTGCAATTAACTGAATATGGTATTCTTGATTTCCTGACAATAATTGTTGTATAATGTTTCCTATGCTGTTAAAAAACCCACCGTATGTTAACCCAGTGGAGCTAAACTTCAGGGGTTGAAGACTGATATATAGTTAATAAGTTATTTTATAATCCTTTGAGATGCAACTCTGTAAATGACGGTAATACTCTTAGTAATTCTGACAACTGCAAATAGCTGGTGTCTCAAACTGTTAATTCCTAAAATATAGTAGTTTTGAGAAAACAATTGAGTTAGTAGAAACTAGAATCCGAAGCTAGAAGTTTGGTGAAATACTCCACATGCTGTCTTCTAAGTTTTGTTTTGTGTTTGAAAGGGGGTGGGGACGGCAGGTGGAGTGCTGTGGCTGGACTACAGTATTGCCAACCTCAAGCATTCAAAAATCTTTAGTGTTCATGTTTTCAATCTTTTTCTCTGCCACCAGGAGGCTTACCTTTTTTTTTTTTAAATGAAAACTCAGAATCTAGTGTAATCGCATGACTCCAGGGAGGTGAGGTACTAAGAAAAGACGAGCAAATATCATGAGTCTTGGATTTAAAACCAAATTGCTGTCAGTACTGGGACTGTAATAGTAGACAGTGAAAAAATAATCATTTTATGGCCTCAGGGCATTTTCATTCTCAAATTAAGTTTGAAAGTTTCTTTATATGTAATTATATTCAGAATTAAAATCTTTTTTTTTTTTAACCTTCCTCTGTTCTTCCAGTCCTGTTTCCTGATCAAGAATGCTTGCTACAGTTGTTTGGAACACTGGCCTCAGCAATATTTTCTCCTTCTTTGTTTTATTAGTTTATTGATCTGAACAGGTTACATTTTAAACATATTTCTAATGAGCAAAGTAGAGAAACAGCAAGTAGTCTGGCAGACAGCCCCCCGCAGTGTGACATACCTAGTTAATAGAATACTAGCTGGCTTATTTTTGGAGAGTTGTAGTTATGACTGATGATTTTACAAATTGTGTACTAGAGTAAATCTTGTATGTAACTTTTCTGCTTACAAGCAATCTTCAGAGAATTGGTTACACTAGTTGCTGTTTCACTAAAAAGTTCTGTAGCATTTGAGACATTGTCATAAGCATTTTCAAAATTGTATAGTATACAAAATGTGTCCTGAATTATATTCTAGCTGTCTTATGTTTAGATGAATTGCCAACCACGCTGTGCAACAGAACATGCAACTTGACAATAGACCTCAATGGAGTTTTTAAAAACAGTTTTGTTTCATGTTGTTCATACCCAGGACCTTTTTGTTCTGTTAGCACGTAGTCTGTTCTAAATTTTGTATAAAGTCTAAATCACGGTATAGTGTTTAGCCAGGATGCAGGCAAACTGATACATGCCCCTGTGCTATTTGTTCACATTCCATTTGTGACTCCACTTCCTAACGGTAAAATTAAAAATACTGTATAGATGAAGATTTAAAACCAAGCTTTTGTAGACAGTATCAT